AGACCACAGTAACCTGATCTGAAATTGTCTCCTCCACATTCATTAATAGACTTGAAGGTATGTAGTGTACCTCCGTCAAACAAGGTGATAAACTATTCTGAACTTCTGATCACGTTGTTGATGACAATAGCGTGTGAATATAATTGCATAGCCTCTCTAGCCTCTACTCTAGTAGAGAATATATTTATTTTTTGAAATATATGCCATTTACCAACGGTTTGGCTGATCACGAGTATTCACGACTCGACACTTTTTTTCTACAAATATGTCTAAATTGGTATTAAAAAACTACATACAGACATCAGTACATACATAATAGTATACATATTTAATATTTGTTTTTATAAAATGTATCTGAAATAAAATGAAAGTACATATTTATATGTTTTCATAGCCCTCTAAATTTACAATATTTTATAAAATTTCATAATTGTGAGAAGGCTTTTAGTTTTAGGGCGTTTAGGAATGTCTTTATACTACACTGGTAAAAATAAAACTATTAACCACCTCAGGCCCAATTTCCTACCAGTCTCATACTTATACTTTTTCGAGTTTACTTTGCTTTTTTAGATGTAATTAGCGTGATTTTAGCCCATTTATTGCACTTGCTGTATTAGTTCTTTGTCGGCCTCAGAAGAGAGGTCGACGTATGTTAGACACGAGTAGTGTCGACTGTAAAACCATGGGCTAATCCGAAGCAATAGCTAAGACAGAGGACGCCTATATACTTGTGTCTAACTACCAACATATGCCAAGCCCTTAAGACCGACAAGGACCTAACATAAGTACAACAAATGGTTTGTATCTGCGCTAGAACATCTGACATTTAAGTCGAGCGCTTTCAGCCGATAGATAACAAACAAACCGGCAGAAAACAAAACACATCTCACAAGTGCTTTTAAAATCACGATAATTCCATTTTTTTTTAATACACACCTATATTTAAACAAATTAAACTCGAAAAAGTACAAGGATGAGACTGGTAGGAAACTGGGTCTGAAGTGGTTAGTGATTTTATAGTCACCAGTGCCGTATAAGGACATTCTATCTACATGTGTTTTTTTAAAGTTGTTTTTAAAATTATTTGTATATTTTCACAATAAAGAGTATATGTTTTTCTATTTGTTTATTTTCACAATATGAGTATTTTTAAACATTTATATTTTTTCTTCTAAATTCATGTCCCACAACCCACGGGCCACTGAACTCCAGAGGAAATTTTGTTTTTATGTTTTTTTCAAACGACTGTTCGGACAGACGGACCACACACACACTCTCTCTACTCTACTCTAGAGAGAGAGAGAGAGAGAGAGTCAAGGCAGTCAGCCGTGTGCCCGTGTCTCACTCATTGTTTTTTTTTGAAAACAAATATGTTTCTGTCAATTTTTGCTTCAATTTTTATAAGGAAAAACATTGGCGGGCTATGCCAATGCCCCCGACCAGTATTGCCCACCCGTTGTTTTTGCTAAACCCTAAAACCCCTAAAGTGGTAAAAATCTGAACCGAAACCTAAACGAAAAAATATCCATAGCCTCTTTGAAAAATTTAGAGGGCTATGAAATATCGTTCATATATATGTATACATAAGTTTGTACCAACAATGTATAGATGGGCTTGTTATTCTTTGTGCAGAAACAGAGTATTCGAAACGCGAAGAGGAACCTACCGCAACACTATATAGGAGAGGACTGTGTAATTGAATAATCTATAGCATCATGCTACCAGGATTCCGCAGTCATGACTTGTCACAAACCACGTTTGTCGTTCCCGAAAGATACACAGATCTCAGAATCATTGGCTTTGGCGGCTATGGTGCAGTGTGGTACGTAATTTAGCGCTTCTATAGTGATTGATAATCATATATCCACGCTCGCATAAATATTATATATATATATATATGTGTGTGTGTGTGTGTGTGTTTGTTGTGTTTATATATATATATATATATATATGTGTGTGTATGTATGTATATGTTATTTTGAAGGTATATGTA